ATGGCATCAAGTTACCATACAAAATTTGCTGAAATTTTATTGAATCCATTTTTCCTTCTACTCGTGAGATGTTCCCTGTGCCACTGGCTGCAACACAACCCCAAAGCATGATTGATCCAACCCCATGCTTAACAGTTGGACAGAGGTTCTTTTCATTAAATTCTGTGCCCCTTCTTCTCCAAATGTACCTTTGCTCATTCCGGCCAAAAAATTCAATTTTAACCTCATCGGTCCACAGAACTTGTTTCCAGAATGCATCAGGCTTGTCTATATGTTCATTTGCAAAGTTCAAACGATGATTTTTGTGGTGAGGACGTAGAAGAGGTTTTCTTCTGATGACTCTTCCATGAAGACCATATTTGTACAAGTATCTCTTTATAGTGGAATAGTGTACCACAACTCCAGCGTCTGCCAGATTTTTCTGGAGGGACCGTGCAGTCAAACGTGGGTTTTGAATTGTTTTTCTCACAATCCTGCGAGCTGTTCTGTCTGATATTTTTCTTGGTCTTCCAGATCTTGCTTTAACTTCCACTGTTCCTGATGACTGCCATTTCTTAATTACATTCCGAACAGAGGATATTGACATCTGAAAACGCTTTGCTATCTTCTTATAGCCTTCTCCAGCTTTGTGAGCGTCAACTATTTTCAGTTTCAGTTTTCTAGACAACTGCTTAGAAGAACCCATGGTGCTGATTGTTGGGGCAAGGTCAGATGAGTCTGGGCATTTAAAACCTTTGAGATTGACATCACCTGGTCTTCCCAGACAATGATTGAGAACAATCCATGACACTGGCAGGTCTCAGCTTGGCAAAGGGGGCAGTGCATGCTATAAATTCTGCAGGGTGCCCAAACTTTTGCAGACACCATTTTTTGTTTTCTGTTATTTTGAAAGTCTAAATGATGGAAATAAAAATCTAACTTTTGTTGACATATTATAAGAATGTCTAATCTGTAATTTGATGCCTTTTGGAGATTTTTCCATCTTTCCTTGGCTTCTTTATGCACATTAATACAAATTTTTAGCTGGGGTGCCCAAACTTTCGATCCCCACTGTATATATATATATATTTTTTTTTTTTATTCTATTTATAACTATTTATTCTATTTATATTTATATTTTAACATTGCAATCTTTTGTGGTAAGAACATTAGACGACGCTCTAGTAGTTAGCTTCAGCAGGCTGGTTTATTGATTGATTAAAGTTTCAGTGAATTTTGATTATTACCACAGGGTGGAGCTATGCTCCATTTTTGCACACCTTTGGTGGACTAATAAAATTTTTTATAAAAATTTTGGACTGGCATCTGATCTTTTGGCACTAGATGGCAATGTTCCCAGTTGATCAGAGCCTAATTACTTTGCAGGTGTATTTTCTACTTCATTTGCCAAGTGTGGCCAATCAAATGTGATCCTCTGGGACTTCAGGTCCTATACAAGGACCGTGGTTAGGCGTGTGGGTGTGCCCTTGATGCAGTTACCTGTGACGAAATGCGTAGGGCAGAGCCACACACACACGCTACTCTGCATGTGTGAACGGCCGGTGGCCATTTTGGAAAATGTGCATTTTTTTTTGCCAACCAATGCCTAATGATGTTTGCTTACATGTGAGTGCAACCATACTTTAAATAAATGTTGTGATTATGGTTTTACACTATGTGCGCTCTTTCTTTGCTAGTTTTCTACAATGCGTCCAAGCCTCATCCTGAGTGGTTTAGCTACCCCAATTAAGGTCCATTGTTTGGAAGATCTTTATCTGCTCTTTTGGAGATCTGGAGGAGAATTTGAGTGTCCGGCTTTCCGGATTGTTTAAACCAGGGGTGGGCAAACTGCGGCTCTCCAGCTGTTGTGGAACTACATTTCCCATGAATCATTACAACATTACAAAACTGACAGTTACAGCTATGACTTGCAGAGGCATGATGGAACTTGTAGTCCTGCAACAGCTGGAGAGCCGCAGTTTGCCCACCCCTAGTTTAAACAAAGCATGTTTGACCATTCTTAACAGGGGGTCATGCCTTTCTGGTAAGCCTTCTGTGGTAGTGGTTGGTGACATAACGATCCTTGGATTTCTTTTGTTTTATCACAACCTCTGGGACTTTTCTTTCATTTTTGGATGGAATTTTTTTTATATACTTTTCACTGTTTGTTATGATTATTTGTCACTTTTTTTAAGCACTGCACTTTTATGTATTATTGCAAATATAGTAATACTAAGGAGAATAACTTGACATACAAAGAAAAAGGGGGTGGGTATATAAATGGAGCAACATGGCTAGAGTTTTTTTTTCTTTTTTTTAACAGAAAGAATGTTTATTGAAATATTAAATCAATGTACATATGAATCGCAGTAACATTATAACAAAATGGGAGCACAAGTTTCATAAAGAGAATCAGAAAACAGATTTCTGATTCTCTTTTGCAGATCATGGAGGAGCAACAAACAGCACATTGCAGACCAGAACGGTACAATCAGGGTATTAGCCATTCTCCCCTGTTGCAAGCTTCCTGGCTTATTCTCAGTTTTTTATTCCTCCAAATAAATCTTAACTTTTTTTAATTGTTCTAAAGTTACTTCTGGTAGTTTAATTGGTATCATTTGAAATTTATATAATATTTTTGGAACGATCACCATTTTTATCAAATTTATACGACCTATCCATGACGGGGTTCCCCCTCCTAATTTTCTTAGTTCATCCTTGATCTCATTTAACAATGGATATAATTCAATTTATATAAGTTCTTAGAGGATACAGTTAATTTTATTCATAAATATTTCAATTCTTTTTCTCTCCAAACAAAGGGAAACTCCTCCTGTAACCTATTTTTCTCTCTATTTGGAAGGTTTATGTTAAAAATAAGTTTGGCAATGTTATTTTTGGGTTTCCCACATAAAACAGCATATCATCTGCATACGCTGCCACCTTATGCTCTGTGTCTCCCATCCATATTCCCTTTATATCTATATTGTTCCTTATTGTAGCCAATAGAGATTCCAGTGACAAAACATATAAGACTGGAGACAGAGGGCATCCTTGTTTTGTTCCATTTAGCATCCCAAAATACTCTGATAATTCCCCGTTAACCATGATTGCTGCAGAGGGTTGACTATATAGCTTCCTTATTCATTCTCTCATTCTATGGCTTATCCCCAATATTTCCAATGTGTCCATCATATATCTACTTTATCGAATTTCTTTTCAGCATCAATCGAGAGTACCACTGCAGGGGTTTTCTCCTTCCTGCTTTTTTGTATGAGAAACAGAGATTTCAGTCCATTGTCTCTACCCTCTTTCCCTGGAACAAAGCCCACTTGATCTATGTGTATCCATTCTGGCATTAGATCTTTCAACCTGTTTGCCAAAATTTTTGCATATAATTTAGTATCTGTGTTCAATAAGGAAATTGGTCTATAACTTGAACAATGAGTAACATCTTTACCTTCCTTATGTATAAGAACTACATGTGCTTGTAAGGATTCCCTCCTCATTTCCATCTCTCCCCCCAATGCATTCATATTTATCTTCAATTTGGGTACTAATAGTTCCTTATATTTTTTATAATGCCTCACAGCATATCCATCTGGTCCTGGACTTTTTCTAGCTGCAGTGCTTTTTTTAGTGCTAGTTCTATTTCTTCCTGTGTTATTGCTAATTCAAGGGATTTTAACTGTTCCTCACTTATTTTCGGTAATACTGCATTTTTTAAGTATAACTGTCTTTTTTCTATTTTTCCTATTCCTCTTTATTTGAAGAGCTAAGGGGGATAATATTATATAATTTATTATAGTATTCTTTAAACACTTTAGCTAAATCTTTAGTTGAAAATACTAATTCTCCTTTGGGATCTCTTATTTTCTCTATAAAGTTCCTAGATTTTTTTTTCCTCTGAGCTCTCATTAAATACTTTCCTGGCCTATCTCCCCATCTACCATATTTTTCGCTCCGTAAGACGCACATGACAATAAGACGCACCTAGGTTTTAGAGGAGAAAAAACAAGAAAAAAAATATTCTGAACCAATGGACTGCAGAAACAGTAGAGGAGATGACCAGAGACTGTGGACACAGTACAGGAGATGTCCACAGACTGCAGACATAGTACAGGAGATGACCAGAGACTGCGGACAGTACAGGGGATGACCAGAGACTGCGGACAGTACAGGGGATGACCAAGAGACTGCGGACAGTACAGGAGATGACCAGAGACTACGGACACAGTACAGATGACCAGAGACTGCAGGCACAGTATAGGAGATGACCAGAGACTGCAGACACAGTACAGGGGTTGACCAAGAGACTGCAGACATAGTACAGGAGATGACCAGAGACTGCGGACACAGTACAGGAGATGACCAGAGACTGCAGACACAGTACAGGAGATGACCAGAGACTGCAGACACAGTACAGGAGATGACCAGAGACTGCGGATGTACTACAGGAGATGACCAGAAACTGTGGACATAGTACAGGAGATGACCAGAGACTGAAAACATAGTACAGATGACCAGAGACTGCGAACATAGTACAGGAGATGACCAGAGACGGCGGACATAATACAGAAGATGACCAGAGACTGCAGATATAGTACAGGAGATGACCAGAGACGGCGGGGACATAGTACAGGGGATGACCAGAGACTGCGGACATAGTACAGGGGATGACCAGAGACTGCGGACATAGTACAGGGGATGACCAGAGACTGCGGACATAGTACAGGGGATGACCAGAGACTGCGGACATAGTACAGGGGATGACCAGAGACTGCGGACATAGTACAGGGGATGACCAGAGACTGCGGACATAGTACAGGGGATGACCAGAGACTGCGGACATAGTACAGGGGATGACCAGAGACTGCGGACATAGTACAGGGGATGACCAGAGACTGCGGACATAGTACAGGGGATGACCAGAGACTGCGGGGGACATAGTACAGGGGATGACCAGAGACTGCGGACATAGTACAGGGGATGACCAGAGACTGCGGACATAGTACAGGGGATGACCAGAGACTGCGGACATAGTACAGGGGATGACCAGAGACTGCAGACAATACTGGAGATGACCAGAGACTGCAGACAGTACTGGAGATGACCAGAGACTGCAGACAGTACAGGGGGTTGACCAAGAGATGGCAGACAGTACAGGAGATGACCAGAGACTGCAGACAGTACAGATGATGACCAGAGACTTTGAAGAGGGGAGGGAGGGGGAGTGCGTACCTGAATTTGAGTTGTCCTCCCTTTAGTGTGGGCACCCGGCCGTGATAGCCGGGTGCCCACTGCGCATGTGCGAGAAGCACAGCGCTTTGTGATAGGCCCGGCGTCTTCTGGGACACATGGCAGGTTCCAGAAGACGTCGGCCATTCACAAAGCGCAACACTTCTCGCACATGCACAGTGTGCTGTGACAGCCGGGTGCCCAAACTAAAGATGCCGGTGCGGGAAGACTGTACAGCGCTGGACCAAGGAACAGGTAAGGTCCTGCTGCAGAGAAGAGCTGAGCAGCCGGCCTGGTATTCTGACATGGTGTCGGCGGCGGAAATACCGGACCGGCCGCTCCATAAGACGCACTGACATTTTCCCTCCTTTTTTGGGGGAAAAAGTGCGTCTTATGGAGCGAAAAAAATACAGTATATCTCTCGGTAATCATTTTTTTAAACACCCTTCTCTTATCTTCTTTCAGAAAATTATTTAATTCTTCTCTTTTATGTATTACCCTCTGCATAATCTTTTGTTATTCTATATTTATGTGACTGCTCAAGCTCACAGAGTTCCCCGAGAAGCGCATTAATTTTTTCTCTTCTTTCCCTCTTCCCCTTTGCCCCAACCACTATCAGGATTCTTCTAATATATGCCTTATGAGCCTCCCACACCGTTGCTACAGACACTTCCCCAGTATAATTTTCCTCAAAAAATTGCTCTATTTCTCTTTTACGTTTTTGATACGTCTCTTGATCCTGGAAGGAGTGTCTCATTCAACCTCCATACTTTTCCCCCTTTCAGCTCCTTTCCCCATGCTAATTGCATTGTGACCGGAGCATGATCCGATATTGAGATCACTTCTTTTACTTTGACCAAAGACTCAATAAGTCGATGTTCCAGCAATAATCCAATCTCAAGTACATCTCATGTGCATGGGAGTAAAATGTATAACCTCTTTCCTTCACATGCTTAATTCTCCATATATCCACAAGTTGGCATTGGAATAAAATTTTTTTCAGGGATCTCATAGACCTACTTTCCTCTCTCTGCACGGGAGATGTCATGTCTATCTGAGGGTCCATACAGAGATTGAAATCTCCTGCAACGATACTACCTTTTTTGAAATCCATTCATTTTTTCAGAGTATTTTTTAAGTATATCTCCGGTTTCTTATTAGGCCCATAAATATTTGCTAATGTACAATCTATTTCTTGTAGTTTTCCCTTCAGAAACAGAAATCTCCCTTCGGGATCTACCAGTCTGTCTTCCAACTTAAACCTTATATTTTTCGCGAAACCTATTGCCACTCCCTTGGCTCTTCTAATTGGGGAATCTGCATAGAACCATAACGGATAATATCTAGAATTTAATTTCACATTTGTTTCTCGCTCCAGATGTGTCTCCTGTAAAAAAAACCACTGAAGACAATCTATGCTGTATCTCTTTGAATATCCTGAATCTCTTCCCAGGGGTATTTAATCCATTAACATTATAAGCCACAAAGTGTATCTCTTCCTTTCTTCCCTTATTCTCCTCCCTTTCCTCTCTTCTCCTCTCCTGTCCATATCTTCCCTTTCATTCTTTAGGACTTCTCCAAACTAATGTATCCCCTACTATATCGCAGAGTCTTACACTACCTAACCCCTCCCCATACCCTCTCCCCGCTCCCTCCCATCCCATCTCCCTTTATGCTTACATTTTGCCTATGAATCATTTGTAGTCCTAACCCAACCTTTGATTCAGCTTTTAAGGTGAAGCTCTGACCATGAACTTTTTACCAATAAGCGTGTCTCATCCTCCGTGTCTTGCCATTCTCTAGAAAACTCAAAGATCATAAGAGAGAAGCAGAAATGGGGGGAGAGAGAAAAAAATAATAAGAAGGCCCCCCCCTCCATCCCATCTTGTTCCTCTTTACTATTCCTACTCTCTATTCCTCCTTACAGCTACCTGCCTCCCCTCTTTTTCCATTGCCCACATTTCTCTTTTTTCTTCCTCCCAACCAGGGATATTTATTTTCTGTATATCAAGTCTCTCACAAAAGTCTCTCAGATCATCGGAGAATCTCAGTCTTGCTGAACGTCCATTTCTCCATCCGATCAAACACGCTGGAAACCCCCAGCTATATCGAACATTCTGTTTTCTCATCTGTTCCAATAATGGTTTCAAGGTTCTTATTAATGTTTCCGCTGCTAAATCAGCAAAGATCTGTATATTTATTTCTCCATATTTTATTATTGCTCTTCATTTTATCTTCTTCTAAAGCTCTTCTTTGTCCAGAAAATTATGGAATTGCACTATTACATCTCTTGGCTTATCCGTTCTATCTTCTTGTATGTATTTTCCTATTCTATAGACTCCCTCCGTTTTGAGAGGCTCGGTTATAGTTCTATCGATTATAGTATTCAGCATTCTCATTATTATTTCCATCAAATCTTCTCCTTGGGAGATCTCTGGAAGGCCTTGTATCCTTAGGTTGCATCTCCTGTTCCTATTCTCCTGGTCTTCCAATTTATATAGCAGATTTCTTTGTTTTTTTCTCATTTCCATCGTCCGTTTTTCTAGTTTCTGTATAATTTGGGCATGTTATCTAGTTTTTCTTCCGTCTCCTCTACCCTTGGATAATATTTGCCACAGGTCTTTGTGTAATTTTGCCAATTCCTGTTTTAGGGATCTTTCAAGTCCTTTAAACATTTCTGCTATTTCTGTTTTAGTAGGCATCTGTGAGCTCTCCTCTTGTTCTTCTACATTATCCATATCCACTTCCTCTTCTATATGTTGACTACTGTTAGCTATTCCCGGGGATAATCTGGAACATTCTCCGCTGTTTTCCCTCTCACCTCTTACACTTATTCCCTGTTGTCTCTCTGGAGTCTGTTTCTCCTGTGAGGGTATATATTTTTTAATTGACCCTGTTTGGGAAGCCTTAGGCCCGCCTCCCTTTGGTACTTTATTTTTCATGCTGTCAGGGACTGTTTCAATATTCCACAGTTCTGGGGGGGGGAAGGAGGGGAGGTCTATTTTTGATTTAATATCAAAATGTGTTGTTTTCCAAGGATATCCCCCTCTCAGTTCTTTTCTTCCTTTTTCTCTCCCCCCACTCCTGGACTCGTCTACCCAGGTCCACTTCTTCTGGGTCTTTATCTGTTTTAAATTATCCTCCTTCTGATTTTTCCTCTAAGACCCCCTGGGTGAACCCCTCCTCAGTTTACACATACAGTTCAATTCCCCTGCAATATATTAATCACAGTACTCTTGCCGCTCTCACTCACCCTCTTGTCCCCGATACGGCTTTTCCACCGTATGAAATCTCTGACGTATGTAAAGAAAAGGGCTTCTCCGTAAAACATTTCCCGCAATCTGGACAGGAGTACAGCTTCTCCTCCGTGCAAGATGTGTATAAAGACTGGTCTTCGCTGAAAAGTATTTCCCGCACTCTGGACAGGCATATGGCTGTACTTCTTTGAAAAACATTTCCTGCACTCCGGGCAAGGGTATGACTGCTCCGCCTTGTATAATCACTAATATATATAAAAATAGGACTTGCGTGAAAAACATTTCCCGCACTTGGAACAGGAATATTTCTCCCCAGTATGAGATCTCTGATTTCTGTAAAAACTGACCTTCTCTGTGAGACATTTCCAGCACTTAGGACATTTTTTCCTTCATTCCAAGTGTGGGGTGAAGCGGCTCCAGGTACTCTCTTCTGGGGAATATTGTTTTCAATATTCCACACACATAATGGGAAAATTGCAGGGGGGGTTCACCGTCCCATTTCTGTGGATTTCTTAGCTGCCACAGTCCCGTGTGCGAGAGGAGAAGCCGGCATCTCTCTCACTTCAAAAAATGCCATCCGGCTCATCTACCTCCCAGAGGTCCCTTGCGGCAGATCACCTGACCGCTCAACATCCACTGAGCTCTGGGGAACACACAGCACCGGGTCAGGAGCGCAGGAAGACCAGCCACGATGGTCGCCTCTCCAGAGGCCCTCGGTCCAGCGGCTCCACTCGGCAGCACTCCACCCAATTGGCGGTTCCTGCACCTCACCAGGCAAGTCCCCCCTCTCCCCGGCTACGCTCTACAGGGCTTCCCGCACATCTCTCCCCTTCTCGGCAAGACACTGGAGGTGCTCACATCGAGCTCCTGGTCCAAGCCATGGTCAGGCTCCTCCCCCCCGAGCAAGTAAAACTTCTAAGCTGAGGAAAACAGAGGCCCAGCGGGAGAGCGGGGGAGTCAGAAGCCGTGTCCAGAGTCAATTTATCCTGCTGCGGACATGGAGTCAAATTAAAATCCCCGGCTAGGATAATGTCTGCAGTGGAAAAGGTGGATACCATTTAGTGAGTGAGGCCACTGAAGCCAGAGGGGTAATGTATAAGCCCACCACCACCATAAGTACATGAGCAATAACAGCATGCAGTACCACAAACTTGCCCTCAGGGTCCAGATGTAAATCCAGCAAAACAAAGAGGAAGGTTTTATGGATAACCACGCTAACCCCACGGGCATAATTAGAGTGGGTAGAATGATTATAATGGCCCACCCAGGGCTTTTTAAGACAAAGAACTCTACTTCCGGTAAGATGTGTCTCCTGAAAAATATAGATATCAGGGTGGTATGTTAAGAAAAATAAATACTAGAGATCTTTTTCAAATTAAAGCTCCAGACATTCCAGGAAAGTAGGGTCAACGGAGCCATACTAAAGGAGGGTTATATATATTACACTCTGCTGGATGTTAACAGCCAAACCCCAAGGACCAACAGCAATGGGGTGCACTAGCAAATTCTGGCTATAATAGTATGTAGATCACATAAGGGTGCAACCTAGGAAGGTTACCCAAAACACATTCCTTCAATCCAAGAATGAAAGAAACAGGTACAAAACATACCCCCACCCCTTCCCACCCTGAGTAACCGGTCCAACTAAGGTGCGCTTGAATCCCTAAACTGATCATGGTCCGCAGGAGGTCTGTATCAATGGTGTAGTCCATAGCAAACAGGACATGAGGCACACCCATCCCTCTAGAACAGGCAACAGCAGATCCAGCAGACAAGGGGAGGACTCCCCCCAAGAGATAGTTGTAGACAACGCAGGCACATAACAGGGTAGGGGGACTGCTCCAAAGATCCTCCAGAGAGGGATGAGTCCGTAGGAGAAAAAAAACAACAGAGTAGGTAGTAAAGACACCAACAGCCCAGAGTCACCAACGAGGCAGGGTATTGCTAAATTGCAGGGTATCTTCAGGTGATGTGAAGAAGCGAACAGCTTCCCCATCTTCCACTCAGAGGCGATCTGGAAACAGCATACTATATTTGATGTTCCTGGCCCAAAGAGACTGCTTCACTTGGTCAAAGGATTTGCAGAGCTTCTGAGTATCCATGGAGAAGTCTGGGAAAAACATGAGTTGCGCGACTTCATAGCGGACAGCATCCATCTTCTGTGCCTCCTGGAGGACAAGATGAATTTGTGGGGTGGCATCCCCGGCGGGCCGAAGGCATCCTATGTGCTTGCTCCACTGCAAAGAAGGATGAGAAGGTCGCCTGGGGAAACAGGTATGCAGGATACGCTCAGTGAAGGCCGTTGGATCAGGGCCCTCCGTCCCCTCAATCTGCACCCAGTATTGTTACGCCGGTTGCAGTTCTCTGCGTCTTCCCCCCCCCCGAGACTCGAGATGTTTCACCTTCACCTGAAGGGTGTGCAGGTGACCGGAGTGATCCTGCACAGAGTCCTCCGTGTCCCCCAGCCGGCGCTCAGCCTCCGTTAGGCGATGGTGGATCTTGTCAAAGTCTCTCCTGATAAGGCCCACCTCCAACTGCAGGGAATCAATCTTGGCAGTGAGAGTAGTTTGGCAGCCCGTAATAGCTTGCATCAGGGATGGGAAGTTGGCCTGCTCTGTGAGAGCTGGGTCTAAGTCCTCTGTCTGAGTTGCCATGCTGGATGCCTCTGCCACATGGGCACCCACCCTGCCAGAGCCAACTTGCGGGCCTCGGTCCCACATCATCGTCGGCAGAAGGCCATCTAGAGTGTCCTCAGCTAAGGTAGGATACGGACAGGACAATGTAACAGGATGAATTCCCCTCCACGGCTACAGAGCTCCTTAACTAGGCATCTGTCCCGGTCGCCATCTTGGTCATGCATGGCTAGAGTTTTAACTATCAAGCGGTCATCTCCAAAGCAGTAGAGGAATCATAACCATTTAGACAGCATACCCTATCATATTTCCTAGGACAGCCTCTATTGGTATAGGTGTCTTTATACAGGGGAAAACTATTATTTACCAGTTGTTTCCAAGATGATATTGGTGAAGAGGAAGACTTCTTCCAGTGCAACGTTATAGTTTTCCTGGCATAAAACAAGAGAGAAGGCTGGCCAATGTACTTGGCCAGGCAAAGTCACTGTGGGAATGAGATCCTCCACCAGACCCAAACACACAGGTGCGTATAGCAGGCTCCAAAGGAACAGACAGCACCCCATACATTATAGCCAACACAGCTGTCCAGAACCCTGTGACAGCAGGACAAGATCAAAATATGTGGGTGAAATCACCTCCAACATTCTGGTGACTTATGGAGTCTATAGAGAGTGTAATTCCCACAGTGACTTTGCCTGGCCAAGTACATACAATATATCATTTACTAGGTGTTGGAAAGTTGCTGGGGCATTACAGAGACCAGAAGGCATTACCAAGTATTCAAAATGCCCAAATCGGGTTCGAAAGGCCGTCTTCCATTTGTCACCTTCTCAAATTCTCCCTAGATTGTAAGCGCCCATCAGATCTACTTTTGAGAAGAAACATGCTCCTCGCAGCCTTTGAAATAATTCAGGAATTAGAGGAAGGGGATAATGATTCTTGATCGTTATCTTGTTTAGGTCACGGTAGTCTACACAAGGTCTAAAAGTGTTATCCTTCTTTCTTCAACAAAGAAGATGCCGGCTCCTGCTCGTGATGTAGAAGGCCGAATAAACCCCTTTTCCAGACTCTCATCAATATATCCCCGGAGGACCTCTAATTCGACTTCGGATAAGGGGGTAAATTCAACCGAAAGGAATTTCAGCGCCGGGCAGGAGCTCAATCGAGCAGTCATAGGAGCGATGAGGAGGATACAATACTCTTGTGTTGGCACTCGTTTTATTGAAAACGTCCGGATACTCGTAATACACTACAGGAGTTTCATGGTCTCGGGATCAGAGTGAATACTGAGAAGAGGAGTTGTTACACTTGTTTCTTTAGGAATACAGTGATTCAGATAATACTCCGCAGGGAAGAAGATCTCTCCAGACAACCAATTGATGGTTGGGTTGTGTGCTCTTAGCCAAGGCATGCTGAGAATAAGTGGAAAAATCGGGGAGGTAATGATATCCAGACATAGAAATTCCTGGTGTCTTGAGGGGGAGTAGCAAAATATTGGCATGGTTTCTCATGTTACAAGGGCCAAAACTGATACCGGACCCATCTGCCAGATGAACTGCAAGTTTTTGTGCCTTGGTACGGAGCGGGATCTTTTTCTGGGTAGCGAAGTTAGCATCCATAAAACAACTACAAGCACCCAAGTCTATGATGGCCGGGACCGTGATTGTCCTTTCGGCCAGTTGTAGTTGAAGATGAAAAGAGATGCGTTCGGCTTGTCCCTTGGGGGTGCATCATATAGAAACAGTTGGGAGAGGACTTATGAGGTTTTAATCGGGCATGTCGCCACATAATGACCTGCATCACCATAGTAGAGGCAGAGGTTGGACTTTTGCCATCGAAGGCGTTCTGCTGCGGACAACTGTGGTCTCCAAAAGCTCCTCCTAGCTGGACTAGTGGGGGCGATTCTGACGGAACAGCATTCGTAGAGGGCAAGGAGGACCCAATTTCTGAGCATATCAGAATCTCCCAGTTAGTCCTCTCCTCCTGTCTTTCCCGAATCTGACGGTCAATGTGGATCGTCAAGTCTATCAGGTTCTCCAACCTAGTTGGTACCCCCACTCGGGCCAACTCATCCTTCAGGGTATTAGAAAGACCAAGACGGAACTGGTAGCGGAGAGCAGACTCGTTCCACTGAGTATCAGAATTCCAGATGCGGAAATCAGTGACATATTCTTCCACAGGCCTTTGGCCTTGCTGTAGCTTACTAAGCATAGATTCAGCGGTTTGGTGCAGGAAAGGATAAGCAAAGATTTATTATTATTATTATTATTATTATAAATTAGTATTTATAAAGCGCCAATGGTTCTCTCAGCGCTGTACATTACATCATATATAGAAACAGTTGGGAGAGGACTTATGAGGTTTTATCGGGCATGTCGCCACATAATGACCTGCATCACCATAGTAGAGGCAGAGGTTGGACCTTTGCCATCGAAGGCGTTCTGCTGCGGACAACTGTGGTCTCCAAAAGCTCCTCCTAGCTGGATTTGTGCCATTTCTGTGAAAAACGAGTCCACTGAAGTTAGGGCCGGATCATGTTGTTCACGGAGGTGGTATGCGCAGGACTGAGGTTCATTCCTAAGAAGTGTGATGATAAATCCCACCTTAGTATTTGGTGATGAAAAGGTCCTTGGAAGCAGGGAAAAATATAACTCACAGGAGTTACGAAAAGTCCTGAACTTCCGGCGGTCTCCTGTAAAAAACTCAGGCGAAGGCACCCGGGGTTCCGGT